CCTTGGAACACCGGATACTTGTACGTATCGTGTTACCAACAGCGAGTCTCAGGTCTCACAGCAAAGAAGAGGAAACTCGGGCACCGGACAAGCACAAAGTTCACATCACTATGTGTGCTCAGCTACCGACTTTGGAGATTGATTTAAGTGCTGCTCAGCATTCAGCGCTCAAAGGACTTAGAAAATTAAACAATAAACACAGGAAAGCACATATGCGATAAAGGACACCAACAGAAAGCCATCAAGTTCCTATTTTTACTTATATCCATACTGTAAACAATATGTTTGTACAGTACATGCAAATCTTCAACCACATCACGATATTACAGATAAATGTATCTCCAAATGAGGGGGCTGTCAAACGTATGGTTCTTCTTTGGACCCTGGTGCCACCTTGTACCGCCTTTCAGAGGAAGTACCAAGAAGGGCCTTAAATTGCAATTGCCCGGACACATAACCTAATATCACCTCGTTGTAGCAAGTTGACAGCATCTGCATGAATGATTGCAAGTAACCAATCGGAAGTGAGATATCCTCAGGGAATGACCTTCATCTTTCGGTTTAAGTCGGCTTGCGATCAATGGTGCAAACATTGTTGCCACCCACCTCACAAACAACATCAGCTATCTACTTGCCCTGATTTCGAATTGGAAAAAGAGGACTACGTTTCAGGCACAAGCCGATGACCGTGCTCGACATCAGTCCGCGAATTGACAGCTTTAGGACAGTCAGCCTGCCCCACTGAGTGAAGCACATGCAATCGTGGGGCCTCAAATCAGGACAGTGATATTATGTGTGCTTATTGCTTTCTAATGCAAGTGTGCTGTTCGCTACAAAGACATGATTTGTTTAACGAGCCAATCCACACAAGTTCCAGCACTTGTTTGGAATGCTGCTTGCAATTCAGCCGATGTCGAGACCAAGCGGCTGACCAGCAGCACAAGCAGCCCGAACCGCTCCACTGGGCTGAACCTCACGCAGTCCGGCGGAAGGTGGGAGCTCCAAACAATGCTTCTCACTGGGCCGGACTTAGACTTCCGGCAAGGAGCACGCTCTTTGCTAGTTGAAAGGACACGTGCGTGAGTCCGGCAATCAAAGGCGGTACATGCACACTCCCAACAAGGCACGGAAGGAATCAAATATCAAAAGGCAGATGCAAAGGTAAATGAATAAAACACCAGAATTAAGGGAACAAGGAACTAGCTGAGGCAACGAAGGACAGAAGGAAGGCAAAAAAGAAAGATGAAAGGAACACCAAACAAACAAAAAGGAATACAGAGAGACGTGGCAAAATAACAAACAAAATCAATACAGAAAGGAGAAACAAGACAACAAGCAATATAATGACTGGAAGATAGAGGTCAGTCCGTTTTGTTTCCTGTTTTTGCTTAAACTAGCAATGGCTTTTGCTTAGGAGTGGCTCGCTGGCTAGGTGCGGGCACTGTGACTGTGACCAGGCGGCTGGAGGGCCACATCCCCAGCATCACCGGGGCCTTAGCCCCTGCTGCGTTGCCGGGCTGGCTTTAAGCCGCTTAAGTGGCAAGAATAGAGTGTTCTTTAGACGGTTTTAGAGCTTTGTCAGGGTTGGTGTTTGTTTCGTTTGGGGCTAGATGGGGCGTGGCCACCACTTATATAAACTGCATGCAACTAACAACCCAACTAACCAAGAAACTACACCTCCCCTCACCTCACCTCGGCTCACTCGCTACCTAGACACTTACAAACAAACGAATCGATCCATCGAACACGAAGATGGTGAAATGAACCAATCCAACAAGCAATCACACATATCATGCTACACGGAATATAATACAGATCATCGGTACCTCTAGCTTTAGTGACGTGCTCAGCTCCTGGATGTCAAGAAGCTCAGAGTATCAATCAGGCTTTTATCCCCCCTCCCCCCCGCCTCCCCTTGCAGGGACCTTTTCCGAGATGCCTAAAAAACGTAGGACTGCATGTCCGAAGAAATGGGGACCGCTAGAATGAACTCAAAATGGGGAATTAACCTCTGAAATCATCTAGCCAGAGTCTGTCGGGGAACCAAGAAGGCGAGGCTATTCTACGTCAACAATTCACCCTGGAGGGGACTTCCATTTGTTTAACGTGGCACTAGAGAATCAGATAATTCACTGTTCAAGACCATGTCCATTTTAAACGGGGCATGCATCCACGTGGACGCTTCTTATCGGGGGGGGGGGGACCTAGGACTGCTGCCGAAAAACGGATGCCCGCGGTCGCAGCAGAAAATGCCGAAGACTGGGTGATTGTTCCGCACGTGGTGCGCCTGGGATGAACACAGGAACACGCACCAAATGAGTGTGAGAGTACCCTTTTTAAGTGTTGATTCAAAGGGAAACCAGCAGGACAAACACAATTTTGGGCTTCCCCACATGACCCATACCCAAATGTTGTCCCTCAGACGGGTTAAATGACATCCTCCAAAGTTTGAGCCAAAATGCAGCTGCTGGTGTAGGACCTGAATGTGACCGACCACCATGGCTGGAGGGAAGTAAACAAAGGGCTTTCCTTTCGTGGATATGCGATTGCAGGGGAACTAAGGCAATCCACCATCTGAGATTCTGAAATTTGAAGCAAGCACCCATTTCGGGTCGTGGATTTGACATTAGTTCATCTAAATATCGTCAATGTTCTGCTGGATGGGAGAAGGGTGAGGGCTCTGGGAGTTACACAAGGCTAGAAATGACAAGGCCAAATGGATGAATCTCCTGTTGGGATGTTCCAAAAACCCACCTTCACCCTGTGTGTAAGATGGTAGTATGTCCCTTTGAGGGAGTGCCCCACTACAGATTTCCACATAGGATGAGGAATCTTGCCTCGGAAGAGCGAGCCGAAAGGCTGAAAGCAGCTCCACATGGAATGCCCATTGGATGTGCGCCCTTCCGAATTGCCGTTGAAGACTCCTGAGAACCGCAAATCACCAGAAACTTGTTTTTCTTAAAGAGCATATGTCGTTGTTTACGGATGATGGTTGTTAGACTCCTGTTTCTGCAAACCATAAACCACTCCTATTGTTTGCTGGGTCCTCCAATAAACAAGGTTAGAATAAGGGTGCCCTATTTTTTTTCTGCAGTCTATTTTAGTAGGGTCCCGAACCCTCCCAACCAAAAAAGAAACGGGAGAGAAAGGGCACCTAGCTGGGGGACCTAGTCCCTTATTCGCCTGATCCGAGCGGCATAGTTGGGGCAAGCGCCCTGGCCACGCAGCGCCTCCGTGCGGCCGTCTACCTCGCGCTCTCATGCGAGATGGACCTCTCAAAACGGTTTCCATTTGCTTAGGCCCCCCGGGAAAAAAAAACAAACAACAACATAATTTCCAGTAGTGATAGAGTCCCTTTAAAACCCACAAGGGAAAATAAAAAGTATTCTTCAGCAAATGGAGGTATCCTCTTTCGGGTTCCCGCAAGTAGATGGTGTTCTCTTAATTCTAGGTCTAACTTCCATTTCCATTCTTTCCAATGATCCGATTTTGTCTAGAAAACCTCCAGAATCCCGGGGAGAACGGCTGGTTTTTGAAAAGAACGATGAAAAGAATGGAAAGTAAATCAACCTAGATTAATGGATGACTTTCTCCATGACTTCACCAACATGGACGGCTTCTGTGTGGTTGTCCCTTCAAAGTCTGAGATGCACACCAAAAACAACTATTAATGGGCGCGACTCTTCACCGTCCATTCCTCATTTTGGGTGGATCATATTGAAACATGATTAGAGTGGGGACCGGTTATGCAATGTAAACGAAAAAGTTTGCTTCATTTTGAGTCACTGGTAAAATGTAAAATGAATCCCTACCCCAGAAAAAGGGAACCCTGCAATGACACAAAGGGATCCCCTTTGCGAATCTGGGTGAATCATACGATACCTATGAAAAGAATCTTCATGAGGGCGAGGACCCCTTTGTGGGGCAGCTATACCTTGCCAAAACCAGAGCTTGGCTTACTGCCCGAACATCATAAGCAACCATAAAGAAAGATTGACGCAGGGTCTGGGCCTTATACAGTGCCTTCCTTACGTTTTGGTTCCATGGCAGAATCTCCAGGAAGTTTGATGCTTGTCCAAGGACGCATCTTCACCATGAGATTCTGGTAGGGGTGTAACCCTTGAGCAAAGCATCCCTTGCTGCGGCCAAAATGGCTATGGACCTGCTGTAAACTTCAGATTCAATTGTTTCCGTCTTACCTGGGAAACCATCCACGTCAAGCTGACATGTGGGTTAACATGCATCCCCAAAACCAATTCTATGTCAATTTGCCGGAAGGGTAAGGGGCGTTATTGAAACCTAAAATTGACACTAAGAACAGTCAACTGTGGCCAATTGAGCCGACCCGCGTAACCCAGAATCCCCTCATGGACAATTGATGGTGTAATTGAGATTACGTAGGGAGGGCCTGCAAAAAGCGCCCGGGAAAAAATGGGAGGTGGTGCAATGAACTTTGATAAAAATGAGCTTACTGGCGTTTCTGTTTGTTACTTCAGCTTGTTGCTTCGCCTTTCGCTTGATCTAGTAGCTAGTATTGCCCCCAATTAGTGCTCACCCAAGTCGGGAAGCTTCCAAACATCTCACACCAACGCGAACCGAAGAGCCCCGATTTTAGGAGCTGCTCCACACCTATTCAGAAATCAGGGAACCTTCAGGAGATGATCCTCAGGCTCCAAGGAGTTCCCCCCGTACTGTGGGTGTACAACGTCCTGCACCACTTTCAAAACCATGGAAAACCATTGTTCATTGGTATTTGCAGGAGAATCATCGTTCCAGGGTTTCTTAGGTGGTACAGGATTTCGTCCACAGTATGACCCCTATTTGATCACTGAGCGCAAGGCACAAGAGTTGCTTCTAAGGTAATCACCCATTCGGCCAGGAGAAATAAACTGGAGGGCAGTGAATTCCAATCCGAATGGGCGAATTATGATACTTCACCAAACACATCCAAGGGAGCCTGAACAAAAGGAACCATCATCATGGGTCCCGATCCTCTCTGCCTTCAGTGCATGTCAGCTTGCAGAAAGCCAGTTTTCAATGCTAAATCATTTACATGCTCTTCTATGCGCATAACTAAGACCCTGGTTTAGGGTATTTGGACAAACCCTTCGCCCCTCATCCCCGCCAGGATTGCGCAAACAAGGCGCATCTCTGTTGCACTCTTCTGAGATCTCGTCGGGCTTGTCCTTGGCAAACCCAACCACTTCAGGTATATCACCTACTCATGTGGATTGGAAGGATGCGCTTAAAAAAAGAAAGTGGGGCAATCCTTCTCTTTTGAGAGAAACACCCTCCATTTTTTGCTAGGATTCGTCCAGTGAGAATCTTGCATGTGCAACCACGAGCTTGCTCCCGACCGTCCTGTGTATGGCTACGAGAACCCGATGCACTGATCGAAGTGTGAAAGTCCGCTCGCAGCAAAGCGTTGTACCGAATGTGTCGAATCTATGTTTAAACTAAACCGATCGGATGGGATTCAGATCGGCAGGGTGTTCCGCCCTCCAAAAATACTGGAGTTCCAAGCGGGCCTACAGGGAGGTATCCCTGGATAAGCTAAGTCAAGGATAAGCCTAAGTCAAGGGCGCTTCCCCCACAGAAAGTGAAGGATCACGATCGAAGAATGGGACACCCCCGATCAAAATCAACCAGGGGGTTGCTAATCCTGGCACAGCACGTGACCTTTGCGAGGTTGTCTGCAGCTGCCCGCCCCCCCCAGGTTTCGGCTTCCATGATGCCGTTGCTTTCCCTTAAAAGGGCAACTCTCAAAGGGAACGACGCAGGTATTTGCGTCTCCCTCAAAATCAAAAATAGGCAAGTGCCCCTAGAATACTAGTACCGACTTGTTAAAGCACTGCCTATTCGGCATTCATCGGTGGCATCGCTACCACAGGTCCAACAGTGTGGGCTAAATGCTTAAGGGGCAGTTTTCGCGCCTCTGATTTGCGCTGTTCATGTTGCAGCAAACAACGATTAAAGCTCAGCTGCTCTTGCGTCCTGCTGATGTTTCCGCCATCTTCGGGAGGACCCCAGGTCACAACAGCCCCAGAAGAATGGGCACATCTCTCTCTCCCCCTATATATATAATTATATATATATATATATATTCAATGTCAACTCATTTGTTTCAGTGCAACTTCAATTGCTTTCAATCGTGAATTGACAATTCCCCGAAACTGCCTTGACCGACTCCATTTAATCTACAAGCTTCTTTCGCAACTTACGTGTTTTTTGTGCCTGGCAAAGGGAGACACCCAATTTGAAGGAGGACCAACACAAAAACTGCAAGTGCCACTTAAGTCGAACTTTGGCCATGTTGAACTGGGAGCTGCGGTCATAATATTTACGTCTTGTACTGTCAGAGGACTTGCGTTGAAAGCATGCACAATGATGAGGTAATGATAATTACTGCCCATGATTAAACACTGACAGTGGCTAAACCATTCCCTGAGCAGCGCAACCGATTATCCAAGCCCAACGCCCAGCCAAGCTGCTGCGCCCGTCACGAACAATCTCCAGTCTTTCTCACTTCCGCCGCCTGAGTGGCAGTAACCAAAAGGGAACGGGAACCCCAGGCAAGCGTCAGTGATACGAAGGCCCCGAGCCAGCTTCAGGTGAGTCCAAACAAAAGGTACTGATCAAAATTTTCTTTTTGGGGTTTCATCTATTGACGTAGCCTTCTGCAGCCCGGCAGTTCTCTGGAATCGCAATTCCCGAAGCTCAAATATGAACTTCCGGAACCTGGGCAATTTGACTTCTCGTCCTGTGGGAAAAATAGCTTTGTGGGAGAGAAGAATCCTCGGACTTTGAAACCTTTTGTCATGTGCTACAGAGAGAGCGAGAGAGAGAGAGAGAGAGACTCTTTGTAGGTCCTCCAGTAGAGAGGTTGGAATATGGATACCCTTTTTTCTGTAGTCTATTCTAGTAGGGGAACCCTCCCCCCAAAAAAGGGTAAAAGGGCACTACTGGGGGACCCAGTAGAGATGCGTAAATTAGAGGATTCTCTGGTTTTTGTGTGTTGAAACTTAGAGTCTCCTCCGTGCCCCTCCCACTGCCTTGTGACATTAGACCACATGGACGAGTACCGAGTGGCTTCTGACCCAAAAGGAATCATTCCCGTTCACTCGGCGTCAAAACAAATCCAACGTCAAGGAATTGTCAAACTCCGGCGTCCCAAACCCAACTTACGAGCCTCTTGAATCGCTCCTGGCAAATGGCTGGGTGCCTACCAAGAAACTTATTCTTGTAGCTCAACATTTCAGGAACCGCGCTCGGTAATCTCCAATCATCCTTCCAGTACTCACCTTTTGTTGAGCCTCACTTGAGCTGAAGCGAGCTCAGCTTTCTTGAAGTTTGCTTGCACCTTGACCCTCGCAGCTTCAAATATGGCTTTGGGTCTTAACACATCTCGAACGTGCATGCGGAAGCTGGGGCCACAGGCAGGCGACATAAACCTGGCCCATGCCAGCCAAGGTGAACACCTCAAAGCTTCAGTGAAGACGACTGAAACCAGATGAAAGCCCAATATCATCCCCAAGATTGTGGGTTCCTTACTGATTCATGAACCCTTGATTAAGGATTGATTCTTGGACACCAGCCAGGAAAACATCCCAAAAGGAATATGGGCTTACATTTGAGTTCATTTACTCAGCTTTCGATTCGGAGACTGCCAAAGAACCCCTTGCGCAAGTTCCCGACATCGACCAGTCAGAAGCCAAAAGGACACCAAAACGCCATCACTTGTGGGGGGCGTCCGATTTCTCAAGGAAGCAATCAAAATACGATTGGCTGGTTTGAGCATTATAAAGCCCTTCTAGTTTATCCATGTGTTTCAAGGGGAGGCACTGTTGTGAAAAAAACGTGTCTGTGACACCAATTGCTTGGTGGAATCCCCTTCTCAAAAAATGTCCTTAGAAACCCCTATCCCACAAACCATGAGCAGGAAGCTCAACGTGCGGCAGTCAATTGCCTCGTTTAGACATGGGATAATTTGGATTGCGTTGCTCGTCGTTCATTGACTCACGTCTTGCCCGACTTACTCATGAAGCGGTCTTCACCAAACCTTAAAGAGACCTTCCGCCTTCAAGCCCTTGGCATCGTTTGGGAGTGACGCTTGGCTACGGTCCAGCTACCACCCAACAAACATAAGTCAGTGGACATGGTGTTTACTCTCTGCCACTCACCAGCCTACTGTATATCTACGGGCTCCTGCTTGACTCCTGACTCTTACAGGTTGTTGGTTGTCGAAGTGGCGAGCAACCACGCCCGTGTTTTGGCCTGGGAATATGAAACTTGGACCAAGCAAGTTTCCACTTGAACTTGGTCTTCTGATCGGTGCGATTTTGGTAAGGGAAACCGCAACCTATGCCACCGGGGCCATTCCGAGATGTCAAATGCAGCACACCAATGCTGGACAATGGTTGATGGAAGAGCTATCTCAAAGGGGTGTGCTTAAAAAGAAAGCAATAACAACGAGAACCCCAGCAGCAGCTTGGATACCGTGTACAAGTTGCCGGGATCATTCCGGCTGGAGATTGAGAACCATCCAGTCTTCCTTCTTCCCAGACGGACCGCGCTGTGCTCACTTTAATTCCAGATGTGTTTCCTAAAAAAAAAACAATAGCTCAGGCACCACCAGGAAAGCTGGTATGCCCAATGGGATGATGATGCAGGCCATGAGCACCGTCAGCGTGCCAGACACGATTGCGTCACACACCTGGGACCGCTGGGGAGTGGGACAGTGAGACGGAACGGATCCGATTTCCCATGCGCACAGCTCGACCAGGGGCAGCTGTTTGGATCCATGTCTTGAATGCCAGAGGGAAAAATGGCACCCTTGCTGCTTGCTGGTGCGATAGGCAAGGAAGGAGGGAATGACCGCTGTAGACCATTTTTTGTGGCTTCCTTCAAGTGGACCCCTGGGTTCATTCCCTCATTCCCTGCTGAGAGCACCAGCAACTCTTGGTTGGCGCAGTTTGTTCAAGGGAAATCTACCACATCGACAGAAAGAAGGCGGACGTCGCCGAACAGCTCTGTCTGTAAATTCCCTATGTTCCCGTAAGCCACCCCACACCCTAAAAGGGTGCAACTTGGGTGGGAGCAACGCAAAGGATAGGATAAATCATGATAGCCAATCTTCCTTACACCCAGCAGCAACTATCAACGCATACCATTCCAACCTGCAAAGGCGTTTGCGCCCAGCAACTTGTTGAGGCTTTAGAAACGATGTTGGTTGAATTGACCCACGCAAACTAAAACATGCGTCGCTAGTTTTCAAAACAAGCAACCGTGCGGGGGAATGTATTCAAAAGACTTGAAATGCCCCCATGCACTTGTAGATGACCTGGGTCGCCTTCTGTCCCCGAGCCTTCTTCATGTCCTTCCATGAGACAGCAATGCAGACTCAATCATGTCGGCTCGCAGGGAATATGCTAGAGGTATACCCCCTCTCACTACCGGGCTCCTTGAATTTCCCAGCTAAGCATTGTATGCCGTTTGAATGGCCCATGGCCATGAAACTACAGCAACAACAAAAGATCCCGTGCCACTCACATGGCATATTTGCAGGTGGAAGGCATTCCTGTGTGTGTGACTCTCAGCTAAATGGATGGGTTCTGGTTTCAAAGGGCTGACTAAAGAGAAGAGATCCCCTGGAAGAGGGCCTTCACACGGGTTGCGCTCGTTCCACCTCGGTGAGGTCCTTGCAGCCAAGGCGCTTCTGCAAAGGTGCAATCGCCTCAGCAAATGCCAACCTCACGTGCCCAGCAACCTGTAACAAACACACGTGTCTGAACCTGGCGGCCCTTCACAGACGTTCCCAGGCAACTTGGGTGGAAACTGCCTGAAACCAAGGCCTGCTTTGGCATCCGCGATCAAGGGCTTCTCTGTCCATCCATTGCGTCTGATCTACATGGATGTGTGTGTGTGTGCCACTACAAGGGACCCGTCCAGATCATTGGCTTTCTCGAGGTTTCCTTTTGAGGCCGTTCAAGTCCGTGGTTTTGACACCTAAATTTGAAAGGCACGCCGGATCTGCGTTGATCAGGGTCATGGTCAAACATCACTTTTTGCGCCACGGACTCTCTTGGAAGCAAAGGCCACTAGATTGCCAACACGTGGCAGGCCTAGCTCTGGTCAAATCTGCAGGATCGCAAAAAAGGGCCACTTCCCTTCCCTTTGCAATCCAGTGCCCTTCCTTTCCCTTCAGGTGTTTATTCGTAGTAGTATCTCAGCTGTACCGATAGCGCCTCGGAATTGCACATGTTGCATCCTCATGTCCTTTTTCCCCTGTAAGGAAGGGATTACAAAGGGACTGACTGAAAACAGAAATGCACCCCCTTCTGGACCCGCAGCATGGGACAAACACAAATCTGGCCGAGTCGCAGTTCTTCACCCGAGTTGCCACGTCTGACGTGCCTGAGGAGAACTTCATGTGTGAACCCATTCCGCCTTTCAATGGGATCGGATGCCCTCCGATAGTGTCTATGTCTGCAAAGGGTCCAACAGTGTCTCTTGCCCCCAAAACTGAGAAAGATGGATCCAGCCACGGCCATCCAGCGAACACATGATTCAAGGTAGACCCTGTTACAATAGATACCCGCCCAGAGAGCAAATATTGAAGTGGACAGAGTCAGAGTTGCGCTTCGTCCTAGAAACGGATATGCCCTGTTGTTGTATGTACAGGACCCAACAGTGCCGCCATGTTGATGAACACCCCTCCAATATGCCCAGCAAGCACAATAATCACAAATCTGAAGTGCCGACATACTTGCAAGTGAGGGCTATGTCCGGCAAAATCACGCAATCGCCATGATACATTATGTCTTCTCAAGTTTTGCTGCCTCGGGAAAAGCTACAAGACAATACTTGGATCAAGGGCAGGCGTCAGCTGTCCAGCGGTTGTTGCCCACTTCTTGTTTGCGTGTTCAGTTCGAGCTAAACTATCACTTCGGATCTATCTGCATCAACCAGCCGGCAAGCCAGCCAGTAAGCCAGCAGCCAGCCAGACAGCCCTAAGACCAAAGCCAACACCGCCAACACCTCATCATTTGAGCATTGTTTTGTTTTAGAGGTTCGGGGCTTATACACTGCTGGGGAGGCTTCGCGGGGGGGCTTCGCGGGGCTAGATTTCGTGGAAATGTTGGCTTCCCAATAAACCGGATTAGGCAGATTTCTGTCTATTCGGCAAAAGCGCGTTTTCGGTCTAAATCGTGTTGCCCTTGCGGCAAAAAGTTCTGTCTATTCGGCAAAACTTTCGGTCTATTTCTATGATTTCGGTAGGTTCTAAAACCCGAAGTTTCTTGGAAATTTCCGACAAACTGCTTGGTTTTTGGGCTTGCAAAGGTCGCAGTTTCCCGGCTCCACGGCGGATAGCTTTCTGAAGTTTTGTGGCGGTTTGCTGGCAGTTTGCACGTGCACGAAAAAGCACAATGTTATTCGATCCGATTGTTTTGCAGGGGCGTGGGCTTGGTCCACAGCATAATTGATGGCAGTGATAAGTGGCAGATTGAAAAACTAGCCGCAAACAAACTGGAAGTTTCCCGGCAATTTGGCCGCAGTTTGCTGGAAGTTTGCATAGGTCAATTTCTATGATTTCGGTCTATTTTGGTTTGTCTAAATCGGCTAATGTAGGACATGGTTTTAGGTTAAACATACGCTTAACCTAAAAACATGAAATAGGTTTATTTCTATGATTTCGGGATTCGGCCGTTTTTTGTCTAAACCGGTCTATTGGGTTCGCGAGGCTTCGCAGCAAGACTCTGTGGCTTCGCGGAGTGGCTTCGCGGGGCTTCGAGGGCTTCGCGGACGTTGAGATCTCTGACGTTGAGATCCAAACGCGTCAGCCTCGCCCTTTGTTTTGGACCAATCAAGCGACAGCATCCGAGTCGGAACTAGCACTTGAAGTTGAAGAGGTAGAGGAAGATACGCACGCGCTGGGTCTTTGCCTGCCGTTTCTTCTTGGCCGCTGCCTTTGGCAGCCGCGTTGCGGCGGCAAACAACAAAAATCGTTGATTTCACGACTGGCCGGCGGACAACTTCGTTGACATCTCCAGGCTGTGGTCCAATACCTTCCCACACCAGGTCTCCTGACCGCCACTTTGCTCAATCGTCCAATGTCATGTCGAAGGTCAGAACCTTCAGAGTAAACGAAGACATGATTCTTGAGGGGGAGCCCATGTGCGTGGACACGAGAGAGTTCAGCACTGAGGCAATAGGTTCTTGTGACCAAGAAGCTCGCGCATGGAAAAAGGCTCTGGAATGTGGCCGGTTCTCTGCTGGCTCAAACTTTTGTATGTGGAATTTGGGGCCAGATTCTGGGCCCCGATTCACCATTCACCATATCTTGTGCCCCTGCTTTGCAAGCAAGCAAGCAAGTCAGCAATGCCATAGATCGGCTTGTCTTGAATGAAGCTCTCAATCCACTGGCAGCTCCACCCAAAGAGCCGGTCAACAGGGCCCTTCCCGTGCTGCTCACAAAGGAAGTTCAAAGTGAGCTGGGTCCG